AGCTTTGCGCCTTTTCCTGGAACTCACTTGGTAGCCCAGGCTGGCCTCGAACTCACAGAGATCCGCCTGGCTCTGCCTCCCGAGTGCTGGGGTTAAAGGTGTGCGCCACCACCGCCCAGCTCGGGGTGTTCTTATTTTGTTTGTGTTCTTGAATGAGAAGTTCTCTATACATCTCCTGAGTCCCTTTTGATCTAGAATGCAGTTCAAATCTAACATTTTCTTATTGGTTCTCTGTCTTGTTCTAGCCATTGTTAAATGGGGGTATTGAATGCCTTTACTCTTGTCATGTTCTATTTCTTCCTTTATATCCACTAGCATTTGATTTACATGCCTAGAGGCTCTGATGTCAACATATATGTGTGTGTATGTACTTGAGTCTAATATATATGTTTTTGTTAGGTCCTTGTGATGAAGTGTCCTTATCACACTGATCGACTCTGTCTCAGAACAGCTTCTGACTTTGTCTGGTTCATTCGTTGTGCTGTTTTGTACTCTTTACATGAAAGAACTTCCATCCCTTCACTTTCACCCTGTGTGCGACCTTAAAGCTAAACTGAGTCTCCTGAAGGAGGGATGTGGTTAGAGTTCCTTTCTGTTCATTTAAGATTAGATTTGTTTCTCTGGCAGGTCAAATCCCTTCACCTTCTGAGGAGTTCCCTCTTGAGCATTATGCTGTTTTCTCTTTAACCTGTGGATCTTCTGTTATTAGTCCTCTTTTGTCTTGTCATTTAATTTCATGGTTTGGTGATTTTTCTGTTGCTGCATGCTTAAATTCTCTTACTTTCTCATTTTTGTATCAGCTATCATTTCCTGCTGTGAATTTACCATATCTTACACAAAGTCTTATAATACTCTAGACTATTTTAAACTAATAACAATTTTGATTACATATAGGCATTGTTTACCATCCTCTTCCAAATATTTTCTGACATGTAGCTTTTATACTGTGTTTTCTTTTATATGTTGTAGTGATTATTTTCTAGCATTTTTACTTTATATATATATATATATATATATATATATATATATATATATATATATATATACTGGAAATTTGAGAGGCATTACCCTTAAGGTAATGGGGCATTTTAAAGTTGATTTGATTATAGATTTACCTCTGCCTTTGGGTTTTATGTTTTCAGATATTTTCTTGGGCATAATAATCTTTACTTCCGGGTGAAGCACTCTTCTAGGAATCTGCTTAAGCTGCTGGTCATGAATTTCTCCACATTTGCTTGTCTGAAAAAGGCTTTTTCTCTTTCATTTCTGGAAGACAGTTCTGGTAGGTATGGTGTTTTTGGCTGTCAGGAGTCTTCTTCCCACACTTTGAGTATGCCAACCCATTTTCTTCTGAACTGAGGAATCTGCTAACAATATGACGGGGACTTGCTTATTTGTGACTGAACACTTTTCTTTTGGTACCTCCATGATTATATTTATTTGGTTTGGGTTTTTTGTTTTGTTTTGTTTGGTTTGGTTTGGTTTGGTTTGGCTTGGCTTGGCTTGGCTTGGGGTTTTTGGTAGTTGATTACATCTGAGAAAGGACCTTTTTGAGTGGAATCTACTCTGAATCCTTTTATCTTCCTGTTTCTGAATGTCCATTTCTCTTTCTCATTGAGTTTCTGTCCAGCCAGGCACAGAAGTGCATGCCTGTTATCATAGCATTCAGAAGGCAGAGGCAGGAGTACCCTGAGCTTGGGGCCAGCCTAGGCTCTACAGACAGCTATAAATAAAATAAAAATATAAGAAACTTTTAAATAACCTTTTTGTGATTCACACTCTCTCTTCCCCCTCTGGAATTCCCATAATTTAAAAATGTTCACTTATGGGTATTCTACAAATTCTCTGTATTCCCTTTACTCTTTCTAATCTCCATGCCCACTTAGATTGTTTCAAAAGATGGTTCTTCATATCCAGAAGCTTTTCTCTATCTGCTCTAGTCTGCTACTGAAACTCTCATTTGTATTTTACTTAATGTGTATTCACTGGCTTCTTCAGCATCAAATTCTGCCTGTGTGATATATATCTGTTGAATTTCTTATTCAGATCATGAGTTTTATGATTTCATTGAATCATCTGATTTCTCTTGCATTCTGAGAAATCTTCATAAAATCATTGCTTTAAGTCCTTTCCTTCAGCATAATTTACTAGCTGATGGCCAGGTTCCTTGTGGCCTAGTGTTCTGTTGTTACTGTGTCAGTATCTGGTGGAACAGCTGCCTCCTATCATATCCAATGGTTTTACAGGGGAAAATGCATGTCTTTGAAAGGATTCTGAGATGAGTTCAGGGAGTGCATGGCCTCTGGTTCAGGTGGGTGCAGTAGTTTAATCTCTGCAACTTCTCTGGTATCACACATGTAAGCCATGCCTGTGGTGCTTACTGGTCTTGGCTACAGGAGCTTGTGGAGGTGGTAGTAAGGCCAATATGGTTTTAGTGACAAAGCTTTGTAGATCGCCCACCTTCGTTCTTACGGTGGAGAGGTTTAACTGTATTGGTGTTACATCTGACCTGGCCAAAGACAAGAACAGAGCACCCTGCTCTGGGGCATAAAACTTATGGTGTCTGAGAACTAGGGTGGAACCTGTGACCTTGGGCAGGTTCACCCTTCTGCATTGTAGATATAATTCTCCCACTGGCTATGATGTTAGAATTCCCTCCCATTGTTCAAGTTATTCAAGCCTAGTAGGGAGTGAATGTGGCTCTACCCCTGGAGATCAGGACACAGCACTGCTGTGGTTCCTTGAATAACAGGGCATTGCTTGATCAAGAGCATCCCAACTACAGCTCTATCCTGGATCTGCATGCCAAGAAAATAGCAGCCATTCAAATGAAGGAAATGTTATGCTTCCAGGCACTTGTCCTCTGGAGAAGAGAAATGCAGGCCCAGCCCAGGAATGGCTGTATGTGAATATGGCACAATGTCCACAGAGCATCTTAGTGACAGAGAGATGCAGAGATCTTTGTCTCTTGGAGAGGGAACCACTCAGGTCGTAAACCATGGAGCTCTGCTGCTTTCCAGTGCTCTCATTGAGAAACTCTCGGTGGAAGTGCTGTTGTTTTGGTCCTTTCTGTTTGGGGAAAGCTAAACACCAGGCATCTTCATTTGGCCAGCTTGCTGAATCACAAATATCTTATTATTTGTTATAGCTTATAATATTCTTATTGTATCCATCTGTAATATCATTTTAATTGCTGAATAATATTCTATTAAAAGTGCATTATATATTCATTAAGCAATCCTCCATTGCTTCAAGTTAAGCTTTCTGTATTCCCTTTGCTTTTAGAAATAGTCATATGTGAATTTATACATGTTTAATTCTGGACAAATTTTCAAAGTTAGAAATATTGGTTCAAGTAAAATATCTGTATCAGTGTTTTGAACTCTTTTTGCCTATTTACTTCATGTTCTCATTATTAACATATTCCTATGCTTTACTCTTTCTACATGTCCAGTTCCCGTCAATATAGACAAAATCATGGCTTATTAAAGTTACATGGCTGAATAGCAACAAAAAGAAACGTTGTGACAGTAATAATTATTTTCTAAATTTTCAGAAATTTTCGAATCTGTGAAAAATAAATCTTCAGTTACCATTTACCTGGCATTCTGTCATTGCCAACAGTCAGCTACATTAGCTTTCTCTCTTTTAGATGCAGACATTATTACCTTAAGTATTTAAATATTTCATGTGACCTTTTTGAAATAAATATATATTTTATTATTACTACAGCACCACTATTGAGCCTATAAAAAATTGTATTATTTCCTTATCTTTCAATATGTACTCAATTAAAATTTCAAATTGCCCCAAATGCATATTGGTATTTTTGTTTTTAATCTAACTAGTGTTTATACATTATATTTAGGCAAAATGACTTCAGAATCTTTTAGTCTACAGTATTCCTTTCCTTTAAGGAATGTGTTTGGTCTCAGCCAATCATCTTTTCCAGGTCCTGGTTGATAGTTTTGTTCATCATGTCCTCATTATCAGATTCAGGTTATTCATTAAGACATGATTATTACATTATTGATCTTGTGTATTTCTTATTCTGTCATACCAGAAGAAATGCAGTGTCCATTTTTCCATATCTGATGAATAGACATGTGTGATGTGTGAATATCCTATCTCTGACACCTATATTACCAAATATAACAGCACACATATGTTAGCCTTGAGAGAGCTCTCTTAGATTTACAGAATGGATACATTACCCCATCTCCCCAATCTGCATTCACAGTCCTTGAGAAGCTTTCTCCCAGTCTCTTCTTCTCTCATTTTTTCTCTCTTCTTATGTCCCTGATCACCACTATGGATATAAGATTTATTTTTAATTCAATAATTTTTTAAAATCCACTGAAAGCAATAAAGTTCATCATAAAACTAGTTTAATCTGGCAAATAAAATTGCTGAGAAGTGTAGTGTCACAAAGAACATGGATTTAATAATTAGCACCATTTTCATATTTTTTAATAAAAAATTGTATTTACTTAGAAGCATTCAGAATGTCAACAAAACAGGTGCATTTTTTTTTTTGCAATTACAGAATGGTATTCAGTTACCAGAGCAACAATTATCTTCGTAATAAGCTGCATCAGAGAAAACTGAAGATGAAAAAAAAAATTTAAAAAAAAACCTACCATCCCCATATATAACTAATTTGTGCTGTGCACAAACAAGAACCTACTTTAAATTTTCGTGCCAATTTACAACCCCCAGACTGTACCAGGCAAGGTTAGTGGCTATTGAGAATACCACCAGGACAGGGCTATCTAAAGACACATTCAGTAGTCTGTTAACTATACAAAAAAAGATACTGTACAGTTTAAAAACAAACCGTACATAGCCTTACATTTCAATTTTTTTCTTTAAAAGTAATGAGTTGTGTACAGGGGGGTTAAATGCTTTATAGACAAGAAAAAAACTGCGCTAGAACCAACTTATTCATCATCATCTTCTTCTTCATCTTCGTCTTCCTCTTCTTCCTCCTCTTCCTCATCCTCTTCATCCTCATCCTCCTCTTCTTCTTCCTTCTTTTTCTTTCTCTTTTGAGCCTTGATGACCCCTTTCTTCGCCGCATCGGGTTTTCCTTTAGCTCTGTAGGCAGCGATACCCTTTCTGTACTTCTCCTTCAGCTTGGCAGCCTTCTTCTCGTAGGGCTGCCTGTCGTTCGCAGCGGTGTTGTTCCACATCTCCCCCAGCTTCTTCGCCACATCCCCGATGGACAAGCCGGGGTGCTCTACTTTGATTTTGGGGCGATACTAAGAACAGAACAAGAAGGCCGAAGGAGCCTCTTGGGTGCATTGGGGTCCTTGAACTTCTTTTTGGTCTCCCCTTTGGGGCAGATGTAGGTTTTCATTTCTCTCTCATAACGACCCTTGTCAGCCTTTGCCATGTCTTCAAATTTCCCCTTTTCTTTAGCAGACATGGTCTTCCACCTTTCTGAGCACTTCTTCGAGAACTCTGAGAAGTTGACAGAAGCATCCGGGTGCTTCTTCTTATGTTCCTCCCGGCAAGTTTGCACAAAGAATGCATATGAGGACATTTTGCCTCTGAGCTTCTTAGGATCTCCTTTGCCCATGTTTAGTTGATTTTCCTCCGCGAGGCAGAGAGTTGCCCAGTGCCTGTCTGGTTCGCGCTTGCCCCGGCCCTGTCTCTATGGAGCTCAATGTACTGCAATGGCTGTGAGAGCGGGAGCCAGACGCGATTTTCATATTTTTTAAGAATAGTTTGCACTGTTTTTATCAGGACAGTCATTCTTTTTTTTTTTTTTTTTTTTTTCCGTTTTCTGAGACAGGGTTTCTCTGTGTAGCTTTGCACCTTTCCTGGAACTCACTTGGTAGCCCAGGCTGGCCTCGAACTCACAGAGATCCTCCTGGCTCTGCCTCCCGAGTGCTGGTATTAAAGGCGTGTGCCACCACTGCCCGGCCAAAAAGAAAACCAAGCAAAATTAAAAAAACATAACTGGAGTACACGCCCAAAGAGAAAAAATACAGAATTCACTGATGACATAAAATTCCAAGACACCATGTTTAACAAGAGTATCAAAATTACTTCTTCATATCAGCCTAGGAGTGTTGGCTCAGAATGTGTCCATGCCAAATTCATATGCCTTCACATTCAGCTCCTTTCCTGTAGTCTACATAAGCGTCTTTTGTTCCCTTAGAACCTGCCTGTTCTGTATGATCCACACAGCTTCACCTAATGCAGCTTTATGACTCTGGGCCCTAGCTTAGCTGTGTTCCCTTTCCCTTCCCTAAGAGGGCAATCCCTGGCCTCCTGTCTCTAGGTGTCAGTGTAAGGAAACTCCCAGCTCTCTTGGAAACCTAGTCACAGGCCACCCAACAAAGCTGATTGTACAAGCCTGCCACCTTGTGGGCAGGTCTTTTCTTAAACAAGTCATCTGTTAATCTTTGTACTGCACAGTTTCTATACTGAAAGTTTTGCATCAGAGACCTAAAAAGTTAAGAAACATTAAACATGAATTTACTCTTTTGGTTTTTAAGAAAAAGGTATAAAGACAAGTGGGACTCAACACTTCTTTCAGTGGGCTCTGTTATTCTCTTTGGGAAAAACTGCCTTATTTTTTGCCAGAAGAGTATAAAATCTTGCCTGGACTTACTGGAAATTCACAAGTGCCAAATGAAGACTAAAATACCTATGCTAGACCCTCTGTATCTTGTTGAGACCACAGATAAAGGAAAGTGTGCTGTATCATAACAAAGAATGCTGCATTGATTGTTGAACCATATGTTCTGAGAGCTGGGGTTGGGGGATCTGATCGAGTGGGTCCTGAATTTACCCCTCATACTCTGTCCCAGGCTCCAAAGCTGGTTCTGATCAGCATTTGAGTATTTTATAGGCTCTCTGGTAGGTTTTGTCTGCAAGTGTTTTCTTGCTTTTCTGTTTTGCCTTTTATTGTGAACTCAAGTTCCCAAATAAATTGAAACCTGTAATTCTTTCTTCAGTATTATCTGTTTCAGTACGTGCATTGTTAGTTTAATTCATGGACTTTTATTGTATTCATTTGCTTAGGGGAAGTGAATAGCACCACTTTTAGAGAGGGAGAAGACTATTTTTGTTTAAAGCATCATACTGGGTTAGGGTCTGTCAGTTGTAAAGGCAAGCCCCCCACCCCCAAGGACAGTTTGTATGAAAGGAAAGGGAGCAGAGAGGGCACAGGGGAACCAAACTACTTTACTTAATAAGCTAATAGGAATTACAAATTTGAATCTTGGCAGTTTGAGAAGTAAAATGTGTAAGTGGACCCTGGTAACTCATGAAAATGTGGAGGCAGGAAGAGGTTCTTGAAGGACTCTTAACAGTGTGGAAAGAAGCAGGTCCTAGGGAAAGATGCCCAATGAGAAATACCTTAGAGAAGAAAATCAGACTGTAATTATGCCTAAAATAGAATAATTTAAGTTACTAGGTATAAAGCAAAATTTCTCTGTAGAAAAATAAAAAGGGATCAAGAGAATTGCTAAAAGCATCATAGCAGAAGTTGGTCACTATGGCAACCAGAAGAGACATGGTGCTGGTGGAAAAGAATATGTCAGATTAGGCCAAAGAGAAAGTGCATCAAGTTGTTTCTTCCAACTTGGAAAAGGAAAGATAGAGGGAGGCCAGTTGGATTAGATGCTATAATGATGGGACTCATACAGTTTTCAGCATATGGGGCTAGCAGAATACAGGCTAAAATAAAAATAAACACAAAAATAAAGATGTTAGTCATGGAAGGTCACATTAAGGCTTTCAATAGATCCTTCATAGACTATCAGGAATATTCCTAAATCCAAGAGTCAGAACAACTGAAGACTATGTCTCTTAGATCAAGCTGTCTCAGCAGCTACATAATGAATGAAGTTGCATAGACTCAAAGAGCTCAACATCAGAGAGCACAAGGTTACGTTGAGACTTTCAGAATATCAATTAATTTTTATGCAGGCCTTTGTGCTCAGTTTTTTTTTCAGTTATACTTAATAGTGTTTATATTTAAATTTAAAAGAGAAGTGAGCTATTTGCTGGCTAACGGGGCAGCTGAATGACTCATTATGCTAGATACTTCATAGCTCATTTAATTTAATGAAAACAAAGTTACCAAAATATCAAGTCATATTTGTGTGTATGAGTACATGTGTGTCTGCTGGTGTGTGTACATGCCTGTGTGTGTGTGTGTGTGTGTGTGTGTGTGTGTGTGTGTGTGTGTGTGTGTGTGTGTAAGCCAGAGGGCAATGCTGGATGTCTTCTTTAGTTACTCTCTACCTTAATTTTTTGCCACAGGTTTCTCTAATTAAACCAGAAGCTCTCCAACCTGAGTAGCCTGGCTGGCTAGCAATGCCCTAGGACTCTTCTGTGTCTGCCCCACCCCCAAGCTCTAGGGTGTCTAGGTATCTGCCACATGCCCCACTTTTTACCAGTGCTGGAGAGATCACCTAAGGTTCTAATGCTTCCAGAGGAAGTGTTTTACCCGTTGAGCCATTTCAGTCAATCCCTCGAGTTATGTTTTGTCAAAAACAAGTTTAAATTATGCACAGTGGTGGCTATGAATTGGATTATTCAAGACATTAATCACTAGAGAACACACTGTGTTCTGCTTTCTGCTAATAAATAGGGAATTATCATAAGGAAAATTAAATTCAATGGTTAGCTATAATGTAAAAACAGTTCCCTCAAACTGCTATTCAAAATCAGATTGTATAACTACCCAATATTCACATATATGAGCAGCATCAGAAGAAAAAAAAGACCTCTCCTTCAGAGAACCACAAAGTGGAGAATATAAGCAAAAGGAAGATCACAGGCCCTACTGCATGTTAGTCACTTGGAGCAGCCACACATGCACCAGGTTGTATCCTCATCAGTTAAGGCTGATATTGTAGTTTGAGTGTGTCTTAGGCTAAGACTCTGAAACTCATGTTGAGGTTGGTCCCTATGCATCAGTACTGAACAGTAGGGAGGCTGTGAAAGGGTGAGTTAGGTCTTAGGAGAGGATCTGCTGCTCTAGAAGTGGTTTGGTATTGGGTCTCAGCCTCCTGCACTCACCCTCTTATTTCCTCTCTCAACCTTCTGCACACCCAACCTGCTTTCTCTCTTCTCACAGTGCAGGCAGCAGCAAGAGTCCCTCTCTGGGAGCAGCACACCAGGACAGGGCCTTGGACTTCCAAGTCCAGTACCAACAAAATCTACTTCCTTTCAAATTACCAAATACAGGTACTCTGCTACAGAAAAAAAAAAAAAAAAGACTAAAATTGCTGCCATCATGAACGAAAACGATCTTGTGGGGGTTGGGAATATTTGAGAGCTCATTTGCACATGGAGGCAGAAGTCAAGCTTACCTAGTTCTTCAGATGTTGTACACTTGGTTTTGTGAAATAAAGTGTCTCATTAGCCTGGAGTCCAGCAATGAAGCTAGGCTGGTTGCCAGAGGACCACAGAGATTTCCTAGTCCCATCTCCCCATTGCTATAATAGCACTGCTCTGGCAATCAAACTTAGGTTCTTGGGCTTGCAAAGAAAGTACTTTATCAGCCAGGAAATAATTGTATTTAATCTTATGTACTTAAAGTGTGTTTGGTGTCTTTATATTAAATTGTCATTGGAAGGTATTTATGCATGTTCAATGTATGTATTTAAATATTATTCAATATCTCAGCAAATATCTATTTATAATTTGGTGTATGAGTCTCATTTATTCAATAATGCTTGACAAGTTTTACTCCCAAGTTAACCATTCAAAGATTAGAGCCTATTTTGAAGAATTATACCATAGACCATCATTGTTTAAATCTTTCTGAGTAAAATATTATTAGGCTAATGCCTTCAACTTTGCCAAACATTCCTACTTTCCTATATTTCCTATATTTCTCAAAGTATAATTGTAACATATCACAAAGAAATTCTTTTAAATATCATGCATTCCTTTTTCTAAAGTAGAAAAGCACTTCTGAGTCATACATTCACTAAGAAAGACAAGAGATTCTACTGTGACAGGAAGTTGAGCTGGGGCATGGTTGTGTTTATTGCATCCTGAGAGTGTATTATTTACAACATAAATGTTACTGTGGAAGACATTACAGGGAAAAATAATTCATCATTTAGATGTCACCAAATGTGATGTCTAGCAATGTACATAAAAACACTAAAGGTTAAAAAAAACTGAATGTTTCTGTCTTGATTAAGGATAAGCAGCTGAGTTCACAATATGTCCTCTGACTGAGCTCTGCCATTTAGCACAAGTCTAGGCCTTAATCTGAGAGCAGAGAAAAGCTTACAGGAATGTGGTGAGGTTTGCTAAGGGACTGACATTCAAACTGTAGTGAAGCTGGGTGATCAAAATTCCTCCAAGTTAAGGAGACAATGATGGTCCTTCTTGGCAGAAGAAAATATTTGCAAAAAAGTGTAGAAGATGCAGAGGCTTCATACTTAGGAACCAGCCAGGAAGAGGCTAACAGTTTTACCAGGCAGAATCCAAGGAACCCAACAGAAAATCTGCTCAAGTGGGGCCCAGAGGGAAAGCAGCACCTTGACTGTGGCACAAAGAGAAGAGCCACATTTGCAATCTGATTCATTCCTGACATGGAGCAGGGAAGAGAGAAAGTGGGGAGTGAGGGGAGCTTCCACAGCTGAAGACTGAGATGACAGCTGATTGGTGAACAAAGACGGCAGCATCTTAGAAGGATCACATTTGGGAAGGAGAAAAATGA